ATATCCGGATGACAGGGAGGTGAAGCAGAGTGCACATTTCAGGAATATTGCATCTTAAGGCTATGTACTCGCCTTTTAGGAGACGGAGACCGGGAAGATTTCCTTTTTGTGGTTTTGGATGGTCTTGGAGACTTGGAGGGACTTTGGCTCTTCCTTTTCCGCCTGTCTCTACAAGATTCATACATTAAACATAAGTAAAGTCCAATGGCATTTGTAATTTCATGACTGGGATGTGGAACAAAATGCAAACCAAGCACCCACCCCAAATAAGCCTAAGTAGTAACCTCCATTAACTCTGCTTACCAAAATCGAGTCTGATACTTCTGTTCAACAAATATAAATAAACTGGACTGAACTACGCATATGTGGATAGGCTTGCACTGTATACCTCTTCTTTTTCAGCTGCTGATACTATCAAAGCCTGTGTACTCTTTCAATTCTTTCACCCCAACACTGACATTTTATACAGTGAGTGGAACGACTAGCATAATTATAGTGTAGTGTTACTTGTGACAGAAGATAAAGTACAATAAGGGTGCATCAATGTGCCCACTTTTTTTAAATTATAGGGACAGTGGTGATCTACAGTATGAAAGTCCTTGCCTTTCTGGTTTAAATGAAACTTTTTTTCTTTTGGGAGTATCACTTTGCAATAAGCAACTATTTTTTCTCCATAAAATACATTTTTAATTATCCAATTTATACACTATTCCTTATTAAAAAAATCACAAAGCAATTTACAAAATAAGGAAAAGCATGAAGAGAAATAAATTATTAACACTCTAAAAGTTAACCAGAGAAATAAATTATTATTAACACTCTAAAAGTTAACCAAATCAAATAGCTACAGACTCATGCACACAACAGATATGTGAGTAAACTCCCCTGCAATTTTCTATGGATACTGAAGGACATGAAGAACCCTGTGGTACGACATAGCTTAAATGCCATGGGAACATTCCCCCCATAATGCTACTTTCTAAAAATGAATCAGTTCAAAGGAACAGCATAATGATATAAAAATTTCCCAAACCTCACTTCTCAGAGATACTCCAAAAGAAGAACATGCTTGAAAGGTATCAAAAGCTACTGAAAAACCAATACTAATCAGACCATTTATTGCATGCTTGGGCTTTGTGCCCCCCCCCACACTGCTATTATGAGGCCCCCAAAGACTCCCAATGTCTCCACTCATAAAATTCCCCTCCCAAAACAAATACAAAAACTTTACTCCTACAGGCCTCTGAGATTGCCAGTCTGTGCATGAAAACCTGAAAAGGTTATCTGTTGACCTCCAATTGTACTTTCTGGCCAATTCCAAGCCTGCTGCTAAAAGGGAATCCTGGGGGTGCGTGGGATGAAAATTCAGTTCAAAGGCCTAGAATATTTGCTCAGCACAGTTTTTTCCTATGTTGCTCTGAATATGCTTTTAATCAAATGTCATCTAACACCTAATGGAAAAAGAAGAAATATCAGAAGCATAACAAACCTGCTGGAACTACGTGAACGTCTTGAAGAACTGTAGCTTCTTGGGGGTGTCCGGGATCTCTTTTCCTTTTTCTTTTTTTCATCTCTTTCTCTTTCTTTCTCTCGGTCCCGATCTTTATCCTTCTCTCTTGTCTTCTCTATGTCTTTCTGTCTTTCTTTTTCACTGTTCTTCTCTCCCTCTCTTTCTTTCTCTTGCTCTTTCTCCTTTTCTTCCTTTGGCTGTTCTTTGTCATCTTTGTCTTTGTCTCCCTCCTTCTCTGTTTCCCTCTCTTTGCCCCCTTCTCCTTCTTTGTCCAAATCCTCTACCTTATCTTTTTCTACCTTCTCCTTGTTTTTTTCCTTCTCCCTGTCTTTTTCCTTTTCTCGGTCCTTCTCTCTATCCCTGTCCTTATCTTTCACTCTATCTTTGTCCCTATCTTTCATCCTCTCCTTGTCTCTCTCTCTTTCTCTGCCTCTCTCTTTGTCTCGGGTCTTCTCTTTGTCCTTCTCCCGATCCTTCTCCCTTTCCTTATCTTTGTCTTTCTCACGAATCTTCTCTTTTTCTCTGATCCGCTCTTTGCTTTCCTTCCTCTTCTCTCTGTGGGGAAAAATAATATAACTCATCCAACATTCATCAAAATATAACCAAGCATCAAAGGAAAGTGAAACAGTATCTTGAAACTCAAATGTCTCTTTCAAAAGGGAAGATGGGCAGCAAGATGACAAAAGACCATCTGACAGAAGTAGCTCAACATAGTAAAGGAGACGTTATGTTTAACTGCCCTGATATACTGGTGAAAGCAAATTGTTATTATGAAAGAGTGAAAAATAAATTTACTTCATAAGCCAATCACAATTCTAGAATAAGAGAGTAGCCTGGCATCCCATAAACGATGCTGTTGGAAACGTCTCAATGCATGACCATGACAGCTGAATCACATGAACCTCACCGAGAATGAGAACGGCTTCTTGATCTCCGGCGTTCTTTAGATTTCGATCGTTTTTTGACTGGACTTCTGGATCTGCGCCTGTCCTTCTGACTAGAGCGGGATCTGTCACGGGATCTACTTCTGTAATGTGCAAGAGTGGATGATAAATTTTACAAACTACATAAATTCATTAAGGCTGTTTACAAATCAGCTATTATCTATACTCTGTTACCTAAACTACTGTACATTTCACTGTGATGCACACAACGTATACAGGAAGTCATAAAATAGGGAGTATAACATTCAAAATCAGGTTCTAAACAAAAAGCAACTAAAAGATACTGTTTTGAGAAAGGCAACAAAGCTGATAACACCGAAAAGTTACATGTGCTAAAACAAAATGTTTCAAAACCATACTAGTAGCAAAATGACATAAATATGTATTCCAAACCATCTGAAGATAGCATTATTCAGTAATGTATGATGCAACTGTTACATGAGGCTCTCTTCCCAACCCTTCTACCTTTCTGTGGGCAAGAATCTTTTGATGTTTCTTTCCATGCATATATGCATTTGCATTGCATGCCTGCTATATACATATATATTATATACTGGAAATGATGAGTATTGTCATTTATGGAATTGCCCGTTTTATCCTAGGAATGAGGCTCATACAGATAGGTAAGAATATGAACTGGACCACGATGAAGGAAAATCAGTATAAAAATCACATTTCCTTTATTAGGCATGTAGTTAGTTATCGTATTTTACAGTGTATATGACCCCCCAATGTATAAAATTTTCTTTCCATGTATATATGCATTTGCATTGCATGCCTGAGATATATATCACATTTCCTTTATTAGGCATGTAGTTAGTTATTGTATTTTACAGTGTATACGACCCCCCAATGTATAAAACAACCCCCTAATTTTGATCCTTGATGGAGGTGAATAAGCAGTTGATGGGCAACTGCTCCTCCACCTCTAATTTTGACTCTTGATGGAGGCAGAGGAGCAATTAATGGGCAACTGCTCCTCCACCTCCATCTCCTGCTGGTGCTGTCTCTGCTGCCTGCCTGATTACCTCCAGCTCACATTGCTGCCTTGTCCTCTGCCCTAAGGAGATTGTGGGAGGAGGTGATCTGGCGGCGGCAGCAGGAAGAGGCGCCCGAGCGCACACAAATGCTTGTTTGCCTCCGCCTCCGCCTCCTTTTGCCTCCACCACCGGAGGGGACAAGGCAGGCGATGTGAGCTGGAGGTGAGCCCTGGCAGTCGGCAGTCACACTGGAAGAGGTAATCAGGCGGGCGGGGAAGGCAGCAGCAAGAGGTGCCCGAATGCGTGTGAATACCCCTTCGCCTCTGCCTCCTGCTGCTGCCGCCTCAGGGCCACCAGAGGGAACAAGCCGTGAGCTCTGGAAGAGGCAACTGGGCAGCGTGGCAGCAGGCAGAGGTGCCAGACTGCTTCCTTCCGTGTATAAAACAACGCTCTAATTATTTTAGGAAAAAGTGTCATTTTATACAGGGAAAATACGGTAATCTTGTATAATCAAAAACAAATATAACAGCAAAACAAAAAAAAAATCCTGTAGCACTTTTAAGGCTAACAAAAGTATTTTTCAGTATGAGTTTTCATGAATTACTATCCATTTTTTAAAAATACTTCACCTTCATTTCCATTTTTCATAAAACTTCCTAAACATTTTGATCTATACAAATCAAAGGTAAATAAAAGAATGTACCAGCTTTAACCAAAGCTGCTATTCTTCATTGAAAGGAACCATCAAAAGCAGAAAAAGAGTGAGAAAAGTGTACAAAAACATCTCTGCACCTCCAGTCAGATATAGTTTAAAAATCACACACCTACATACACAATCCACTGTGGTATTCCAATTTGTCACTCACCTTTGCAGATACATTGCTCAGCATGGTAATTAAGTCGGGCTTCATAAACAGAAAATAAAAGCCCTGTTTTGCAAAGGTGGATTGTGTGAGAAAACCAGGCCAGGAACCCTAGTACAAACAATGAACTAATACAGATTCTCCAAACTTGGTGGCTTCCAGGCATTCTTGCCTACAACTCCCATCAACTCCAGCTAGTGGACCAGTTATTTGATGATGGGAAATGCAATCCAAAACATACTCAGGGAAGTTAAGGGGAAGCAGCACAGTAGTTTAGGAACTGTGAAATTTGAGTTCTACCTCTCAGAATATGTTTTTTTCATCAGAATCAGAAGTAAGCAAGGAGGCCCAAAAGCATCGACACATAGCTGTACCACTGCATGAGTCCTGCTGCATGTGCAAATAAGGTTATGAGTATTTGTCCAAGGGACAATACATTGGTGCAAAAGCCTGACATGGTGGGACTGAAACTTCCTTTTATTTTAGAATACAGAAAAATTAGAAGTGTTTTTGACTTGCCAGTTGGAATTCTGCAGTAGGCAACAAAAATGTGCTGCTGCTGCTTGCAACAGAGATCGAAGTGTTTTTGACTTGCCAGTTGGAATTCTGCAGTAGGCAACAAAAATGTGCTGCTGCTTGCAACAGAGATTTCATGGGAAGCAAGAAAGCAACTGTGCCCTGCTGTGGAGAAAAGAAGATATAATTTCTCTCTTTCCATTGGAAAGCAGCAGCAACAGCCAGTACTTTCTCAAAAAGCCAAATCTGGTTGCTAGAGTTCAGTTTTCCTTTTTCCCTTCTCATTAGAAAGGAAAAGTAGTTTTACACATATGAATTTGACTCTTTTTTTTACAAGGTACCCTCACCTCCTGCTGTCTCTCACAGAAGTCAAACAGAACAGGAAACAACACATTTTCATTCCCATTAGATTTCTACAGGAGGCAGCTGCAGTGAGGCATCACAGAAACTTTCTATAAGTCTGTTGCTGCATAACCAACAAGCACTATTGTGACACTTTAAGGACTAACAAGTTTTATCTGACACTAAGCTTTCACAGATAATAACCCATATCTTTGGATGCTTCAGAAACATTGTATAAAATACAGAACTCGAAAATAAAATGTACAACAGTGAAATCACATCCTCTTTCTGTCTCATTTTCCATGAAATGAAACAGATGGTTTCTCTCCTATAAACCGACCTCTTCCAGAAAGAGCAGCAACACTTATGTTTTAACTCCCATGAAGGTGAAATCCATGTGTCCTGACAGGATGAACTCCTGTCCTGCTGCTGGTGGGGGTGTTCTGAAGAAACCAGCAGTATTGCAAAAAATAAAAATAAAAAAAAATAGCAACACCAAAGCCTCACTGGCTGGAAAATACACAAACACACAACTGGACACCCAAAGAGGAAAGGAAAAAGGCTTCCAAAAATTACTTTTGTTGAAAATGTGGGGGCATAGCCAAGCAAAGACACTTGCTGCAGGGGAGTCAAGTAGATTCAAGCACCCAAGTTTTAGCTGCCTTTACTTTTTGACAATCACTTGACTGACATTTAGTTTTCAGAAATAAGAAATTCAAGATCAAATTTTAAAAGTTGTTCATTCTATTCATCTAAGAATGATAGTTGAAAGCAACAACAAACTCCACCTAACAAACTATGATTTATGACACAAAAGGGAAAGACAGCTCAAACATTACTTTCAAGAAATTTTACATATTGAGACCATTACCTGCGTTTCGAGAGTGATCTTTTCCTTCGAGATTTTGAACTAGATCTGGACTCTGAACGTGAATGGGAGCGCGATCGACCACCTTTCCTTTCAATGCTCTTTCCAGACTCTGAGAGAAAAAACGACTTTGCAGTGTAAGCTCAGAACATTTAAAGATCCCAGCTAACAATCTGGCACAAGTAGAATGTACCACATATATTGCAAGGGGCCTACTCTCTGCACATCTTCCTTCTTTGCAAAAATCCTTCAGAAACATCCAAGAAAGTCATTGCATATATTCGTTGAGTGCAGCCATCCTGCAGCAGTACACATAAACCAGATAATTATAAACAGCTAGCTAAATAAGGAATGGGATTTATGTTGCTGCCACAATGCACAAATTTAAAACATGTTTGGCAATACTGACTTCAGAAAGAAAACACACAAATTCCAACATAGTATTCTGAAAAACTATTTTATTGTGAGAGCACTTTCATTACTGACATAATTTATTCTTGCACATCTAGAAAGTTAGACAGTGGACTTGGCCTGAACTGGAATAAGCAATTCCAGAACCATGTGCAGGAAGATATATTCCAACATGCAGAATGCAACTGGTTACTACACGAAGCAACAGATGGATGTACTCTGCAACATGCAGAATGCAACTGGTTACTACACAAAGCAGCAGATGTACTCTTTTAGTCGTCTTCAGTTCTTTCCAAAATCTGTATTTAAAGTCACTGTTTTTAGATTAACTCTAGTTTAGATTGATACAGTAATTTCTAACTGTCCAAATCAAGAAAAAAACATCAACTAGAAGACGGTCACCTCAACATGCAGAATGCAACTGGTTACTACACAAAGCAGCAGATGTACTCTTTTAGTCGTCTTCAGTTCTTTCCAAAATCTGTATTTAAAGTCACTGTTTTTAGATTAACTCTAGTTTAGATTGATACAGTAATTTCTAACTGTCCAAATCAAGAAAAAAACATCAACTAGAAGACGGTCACCTCATGCAGTTAACTAATTTCTAAATCTGAACCAACTGTGCTGGCTGGGGTTTCTGGGAGTTGCAGTTCAAAAACATCCGAGTAACAAAGGTTGGGAACCTAGGAACTAGAAGACGGTCACCTTATGCAGTTAACTAATTTCTAAATCTGAATGTTCCCTTTTGCTTTAAAAGCACCATTTAAATCAAGAAAACGAAGAAATCTAAGATTCAGAAGTATCTGTTTCTTTATAAGCTAGGACAACTGCACATAATAATTTAATCTTGTCTCTGAGTCCTCTTTGGAAACTGCTAAGTGACTAACAGTATCACTGAATATTTGTGAATATTACACCACCTTCTGTGAAGAGGAGGAATTGAGACAGATGTTAAGTTCGGATGTAATGTTCCCAGTTCAAAAAACTATCTTACTTCGGAGTGGCTGCTATAAAGTGGATGCAATCTACAGTTGTTGGACTATGTGGACATTAATCCAGACTTTTGTCCATCTCTCCCATGTTCACTGAAGCTGCCAGAATATTCACAAACCTTTTGTGTTATCAGTCCCTTATCACTATGTGTTCAGATACTACACAAAACCATTTAACTAACTGTTATGTTCTGTCTGGAGATTTAAGAAAGGGATATGGAGAATACTTTAACTTGCCCCGTGATATTGTAGAACCAACAATGTTACATTCAAACATGGGAGAACGAGGGTGCAAACCCAAATGCAACGAGGGCTCAGAGACAAGGGAGGAAAAATAAAAGGAAACACAATGAGCTACTAGAAAGATAAGTATGAAGAGGGGAAAAATGAAAAAGATTGAAGCCTGAGAGAGGCAATGGCAGAGGAAGGGAAGTGACTGAAGAAGGGGCCAACAAGAGAAAGGGGCTAGGGAAAAAATCTCCCCAAAATATTTAATGAATATTAAAAGGTCTCTGTTCACAGCCCTCTGACACTTACTTAATGGTGGGCAGCACCATTTTGACTGTCAAATACCAAAACCACCCAGTGATGAAATCACCATTTACAAGTCCCAGAAGATTCTATTCAATGGCTGTTGCTACACTATTCCATTAAACTTTTTTTTAAAAAAAAGTATATCCTAATGACACACCAGGATTCACAGCAGTGCAAATACTTTCTTGCAGTGCATATAATAACATACCTGGCTCAATAGCAGCAGATATAAAAGACTGGGCTTCTCGCACTCTCTTCATCACTTCTTCTAATTCCTTAGCAGCAGCCTGTGGAGTCATTTCAGGAGGCTTCACTATTGCATTATTGGAGTGATTTATTCTAAATTAAATAAGCAGATTGATTCAGTCTATATGTCAGTGGATGTATGCAAGAACTCGCAGTAAAGCACTGCATCTATTATTTACTATGCAGCTCAATGCAGAATTAAGTGGTAGCCAACATATACCATCAGTCCACAGCTGACTCAAGACTAAACCCTCGAACCCTACATTTGCAGGTCAAGAATGATTAAAAACTGTGCCTCATGATGGCCCTTAATGTTCACTGGGGACCTTTGCTGGAAACCTTTCCACTTTATATCCTTTCACCTACTTCCTATTATTTTTTAATATGTTACTATGCAGCAGTAAGGAGAGGCCTGCTGACTCCATTTTACATCTGTAGGTTATCCTTATCCAATTTTTACAAATCTTACTTATTTCTTTTTTACATGCCAAAGTCCCATATTCACTGAAATTTATGTAGTAAATTTACATTAAATATTTCTACCATAAAAATAGCTAATGTAAAAAAAATTAACAAGCTTGATTAACTACTAGTTCTGCTGTTAGCACCATTTAGATACAACTTTAGCAGGGAAACCCTTCACTATTGCACATCTTACCCCAAAAGTTAAGAAGTGAAACCTTCAAAATCATTGATTTTAGCTAGAGTAAAAGCAAAGGTGTTCTGACCAAGTTTACACTTAACAGGTACTAATATCAATATACCAAGCAATAGCTTCTCGAGGACAGACCAAACTGCAGAATTCCACAGCACAAGGCTACAATTACATTCAATTTATTTGTCAAATTAATCTAATTTTACAGGATCTGCATAATTTCTTACTTCAACGGTCTGTCTCCAAATACAACTCCATTAAAGGCAAGGGCTCGAGGTACTGAGTTTTGATCAGCAAATTCCACAAAAGCAAAGCGTGTTGGTTGAGTCTCATCACCTGCCATCCGCACAAACTTGACTTCTCCAACTTGTTTAAAAAACTCAAGCAACTGGTCAGCTGTAGTAGTCTTAAAAGAGAAAGGAAGAGAAAATTCAGCTCAAGAAAATTTGCACGATTCTTCTGTTGCCTGCAATGAATTTAGGAGGTCCTGCATTTTTTTCCAGCCTCCTGAATGTTAGTGTGCTGCAGGGTTATCTTCTGTCACAACTACTTGATTGGAGGAATAAAACATGTCACTGGAGTCACAAGTATTAAGAGCAAAAGGCAGATTGTGTGTAGGTGAGGGATTCTGAAAAAATAAGGTGAATGCCTGCAATGTGGCAGAAAGAGCATTCCAGAGAAAGAAACAAGCCTGAGGGAAAGAATGCTGTTCTCCTTCACTGGTCAAGTCTAAGTGAACTAATTCTTCACACTGATACACAATGGATCTGTGAGGCAGGTTATTTCCTTACTATTCTATCATCTTTATTCTTGCTCTATCCTCCCTTTAACACCACTGTGGGATTACCACCCCAAAATGGAAAACCTTGTAGAGTATGCATGAACATGAGTATGTGTAAATAAATACTTTTTGGGATTCACCAGCAGAACACAAGACTAGTGATGATAGACCACACAGAGAAAACATCATACAGTACATTTAGAAGCCAGTTCAGTAAAACTGAATGACACTGCAAAAAAATCAGCTGTGTCTCTTTTGCCCATCACAGAAACAGCAACCTTTAAGCACAATGAAGGATGGAACACCAATGAACGATGGGGCCCAAGAGATCCATTGTGCATTTGAGGATGTGTGAAAAGCCACAAGTTTGCAATCCCTACGAGTGGCACCTTTGATTCAGAGAGAGACAGCCTATACAATCTCTCTGTCTCTCACAGCCTCTCCCCTTACCTTCTCACACAGCAGTTAAGCTTTTAAAATCAAATGTCAGCACAGGCTTTCTAAAAGCTGGGGAAGGAGGGATGCATAGGTTACAGCTAGGAAGGGCTGCACTAACTCTTCTAATTATATGTTGGAATCCACACTTGTGAAAGTATTTTTAAATGTTTTTTTAACTTTTCCTGGTGCCATAGATGTTGAAAATCTTTATTATTTTTTACTAATTCTAGATTTTATAGGGTTATTTATATTTAAGATTTTATTACTGTCTGGGTATTACCATATTGTTTTTGGTTTTTTTGTTTGCTTGTTTGTTATTGTGTTTAATCTTGCAAAACCACCCAGAATAGTGCTTGCACTAATGGGGCAGTATATAAATCGAATGAATGAGATACATATGTAATCATTCAAGTACTGGAAATATTTGACAGAAAAAAGATATTGCATTGATATGAATAGATAAAGTGAGTGTCTTCTTAAATTTGATCACTTCTATATCCCAAATATTGTGTACCTCAAGATGAAAAGTTCCCCACACCTTTATAAATGAATGGTAATGACACTGCAAATTTGGTGCAGGATAGAGATAGCACTTTACAAGTTAGGAAAACTTATTTTTACAGCTTCTGCAGTTTGAACTGTCAAACTGCAGAAACTAACGATCCCTATACAATTTGTAAAGGGAAACCCGGTGCAGCAGATGTCATTTCAGTTTATTCAAGATTAGAATTGTCATGCTATGACATATAAAACTACTTCTCACATTATGGCAGCTCACTGTAGCCAAAAGATTTACCTGGGAATTCAAGTTTCCAACATACACAGTCCTTCTAATCTCATCAATCTTGGAAGGATCCACATTGCCCATAATAGGTGGCTGGGGTATGTCTCCAATTGCTGTAATGTTATGATCCAACGCTGCTGCTGGTATAGCTCCCAGTGAACTAAGGGGAATTCCAATCTGAAAAAAAGCACAGTTTTTACAGAAGTGAGTACAACACTGTTTCTCAGGATGGGATTTAGAGATTTTTCTGACCTCAAATACCATAGCTCTCCATTCTGGGAAAGATCTACCTACCTTACAGGCACTTTGCAAATATCTGAACGTGATACATTCAGGACAGTGGCTCCCAACCTTGGGTCACCAGATGTTCTTGGACTTTAACTCCCAGAAATCCTGACCAGCACAGCTAGTGGTGAAGGCTTCTGGGAATTTTAGTCCAAGAACATCTGGAGACTGAAGGTTGGGAACCAATGATCTAAGGCCTAAATTAGAAGGAAGACCAAGCTCCACCAAAGGGTCCTGATCTGAAACAAACCTCCCAGTTAGCACTAGGGCACAAACATGACGACTGGGTAGAGAGTGGTCTAGCTAATACTACAAGTCTTCTACCTTAGGCTTTTTTCCCAGGTGGATCACACCAAGATGTTTTTGTCATGTACCTGCAAGATCTGTAGAACTCCCAGAATGGAGAATTATGCTATCTGTGGTCCAAGAAATCAAAAAATTCTCATCCCTAGTAGTTTCTTTCCGCTGTGAATAGATGCAATCTTATTAATTTCAAAGACCGTTAAAATCAGTCGTGCCTAGAAATACCTAATAAATGGCCACAAGTCTCTATAACTGACCCTAAACATTCAGTAGAACAGCATTCTTTGTTGCACAAGCTATACACTCTCAAAAACATGTTCAGTTTGTGATGTAAGCAAGAGTGTTTTTAATGCTTAGCAAAAAACATTAGTATATAACCAGGTGAATCCTTTCAATTTCAGAAAGTTTAGCATATAACATATGCTACTGCAATTAAGCTTTCATAACCGCTCCTGGAATCCATTTCAAGACTTCACCAATTTGTTTTACCACTGTGCCATCATTCTCTATCTATCCCTGACCCCCATATTCTAGTCCCTTTTCACTTAACACCCAACTGTGGAGAATCCTAAAAAGAAGGCTTGTGGCACAATGGTTAAACTGCAGTATTTCAGTGAAAACTCTGCTCGTGACCCGAGTTCAGTCCTGGGTTCAGGTAGTTGGTTCAAGGTTGACTTCCATCCTTCCGATGTGAGTACCCAACTCGCTGCAGGTTGTAGCAATATGTAGCCTGCATAATTAAAAATTGTGCAGAGAGAGACCCAGAGAGTGCTTTAAGCATTATGGGGCTACATATAAACTTTTTCTTTGATTCTGCTCTAAACTTTCCTTACTATTGGTACTATTGGAACTTAATGACTGATTTTATAATTGTTCTACCTTACTAAAATTTTTGGGTTTCTGTTTAGATTTAGGCCACCGCTATAATGAAATTGAACAAAATATATACCATTAGATAGCATCATGTAGACCACTGGTTCTTAACCTTGGGTTACTCAGGAGTTTTGGACTGCAACTCCCAGAAGCCTTCACCACCAGCTGTCCTGACTGGGGTTTCTGGGATTTGCAGTTCAAAAGCATCCGAGTAACAAAGGTTAAGAACCACTGATGTAGACCATGTCTAGATGGGCGGCATATAAATGCGATCGATCGATCGATCGATCGATCGATAGATAGATAACATTCAGTCCTACTTACCGAACTCACAGGTGGTGTTGGTATAGGAAGCAATCCTCCACCAGGAATCAGACTCGTCATCGTAGGAGCAGGAGCCAAGAGAGACAGAGCTTTGGCTTCATCTGGAATTTTACCTGAAGAGCAAATGTTTTTATTAGCAAAGGTCAGGTCACCTTCCAAGTGTAACTTTCTATTTACCATACCCTTCAACTTAAAAAAAGAAACGAAAATAAAAACTATGAGAGCCTTACAAAAAAATAAAATATTTTTTTCCTTTTCCCCTGTTCCACCAGGAACAACAAGTGAGCAAAACTAGCAAGCTCATTACCAGATTTTTTTACTTTAAAAACTGAACAATGTAGACAATTATTTAACACTTTGAGCTATGGGTCACCTGTACTGGAAACTTAATGTTCATGAACCAAACGATATCAAGCATGGACGCTTTCGCAGGACGTTGTTTTCACGGTGATCGAAAGTTGTGTTACACATGACAACCGTTCGTGTTGGCTGCATCACTAATAGCACACAGAACATCAGATACAGAAAAGAAGAACATTTTTTAAAGTTTAATCCCCAGAAATGGCAAATAACCAAATTAGTCAAAGGAAAAAAAAAGAGGAAACAGGAGTGTGCTAACCAAAATCTGTGCTTTTCTTCTGCCCCAAGAAGGTATAAAAATATTGCAGATGCCTGCCAGAGGTCAGTCTGGCACAAGACAAAAATCTAGAATCCGACTAATTTATAGCTTGAGGACTTTAATTGAGTCCTGCATCCTACTTAAATTCAAGACAGTGTGAGTGATCTGAAGTCTTTACCAAAAGTCTTATGCAATCACACCATGTGTGCATATGCTAAAAATGGTTAATTACCTCTTCCAATAGCACAGTTAAGACAGTTTTATTTACAAAATGACAAAAAGGTATGGCTGGCTGTTCTCAATGCATCCTCTGGTGACAAGGCCAGTCTCTGCACAATATACTACATCTTATGTTTAAGGTTTTAACCAAAAAATGCTTATCCCTGGTGAAGCATTCTGTCTTCCCAGAACCACCATGGGTCCCGAACTTTGCTAAAACATACTTTTGTTAAGATGTCCTAAATTTTATTAAGTATTATAATTATAGGTTATAACTTAGCAGCCTAACTTAAAAAAGGTCAAGGATAAAATATCCAAATAGACATAGAGACCTCAAAGGAACAGCTGAATAACGGACCAGAAAGCACAAACTGCACCCAGCAAAGTGTTTGCCTAGCAGTCAATCTTGCCTGAAGTAACACTGAGTGTTACTTATCAAACTACCTAAAGGCATTTGAGTCAATTCAGTCCTCGCAAAGAATCTAAGAATCTGATGTTTTAATCCCATTTCCAAGGAAAGAAACTGAAGCACTTGAACATGGGGGTTCAAATCTTACTCTATTTGGCTAGGAGGTGGGATAACAGGTCTACCAATGTTAAAACCCAAATATGGCGAAAGTGTGTGCAGTAGAATTCAAATACAACTGTACTGTATTCCTATTTCTAATATTCCCATATTAATTTCAAAATTAAATTAGCACAATGATTTTTTTAAAAAAACTCTTCAGAATTCTGTCACTAATTTACAAGAACTAGACAGACTAGTTGTTGTAGGTTTTTGGGGCTGTTTGGACATGCTCTTAAGGTTTTTCTTCCTAACATTTCACCAGTCTCTGTGGCTGGCATCTTCAGAGGACTGGTGAAACGATAAGAAGAAAAACTTTCGGAACACGGCCAAACAGCCCGAAAAGCCTACAAAAACCATCGGATCCTGGCCATGAAAGCCTTCAAGAATACTAGACAGACTGTTGAGTTTTCCCAGTACAATCATATATATTTATTTGGAAGTACAGTGGTGCCTCGCTTAACGAGTGCCTCGCTCAATGATGAATTCGCATAACGATGGCCTTTGCTGGAAATTTTGCCGCCTCACCTAACGATGTTTCCTATGGGGGATTTTCGCATAACGATGTTTGGGACCTTGCTTCACTTAACGATGACAGTTTTAGGTCCCCTGTTTCGCTTAACGTTTTTTTGACAGCCCTGTTTTCGCTATTTTAAAAATATTCTAAGATGTTTAAAAATGTTTAAGATGCTTGGAATCGTTAGTGCACCTAATAAAACCTTCGTTAAAGTAATTTGGCTTCGTTCTGAGTCTTTTTGAATTTTTTGGTGATTTTTTTTCACCAATGAAATGTATTGAATAGGCTCCTATTGGAACAGATTAACCGGTTTTCAATGCATTCCTATGGGAAATGGTGTTTCGCTTAACGATGTTTTCACATAATGATGTTTTTAATAGAACCAATTAACATCGTTATGCGAGGCACCACTGTAACTAGTAATGGGTTTATCAAGGCTCACTTCCTGGTAGGTGGGTATAGGACTGAAGTTTCTCACACTTCAGTATTATGGACTGTATATGTTAAGAGATCTTTCTCTGTTGATGGGAGACTTTTAGATGCTGCCAACCTCTGCCAGTGGTACAGGGAGGAAGGTAATTCTTTGTCATTCCAACTCTTTTGGACAGAACCCCAGTCCACTCCAATCTGCTTTAGAGTACTGGGAACTGAGGTAGAAGTTGGGAGCAACACAGGGGAAATTCACCTAAAGGACTTTCTCTCCCTGTTGCACTGACAGAAGTCTGCAGAATCAAGCCATCAATCACTGAAGGGACACAGACTGGACATAATGATATGAATAAACCCTTAATTTATCATTCTAAAGTATTAAAGCTATAGCAAGTAAGCAGGAATATTTGGGACTATTTATACAGGAATATTTATACAGTGAACATTTTACTAGAAAACAAACCATTTTTTAAAAAAATTAGTGTTTTAAAAGATTTTCTTTCAAAACTAAACAAAAATCAAACAAAAATTCAATTTCTGATAACAAAAATAATGTTTACTAGCTGTAAATATTATCCAGGAAAAAAGGAAAAGAAAATACCCCATTCATCCATTATATCAAAACTTATATTTTGGACTATTTATTTTATTCCTAAATAATTGTAATTAGACATTTATCAGCTTAATGATAAAACCAGACCACAAATCCACAATAAAGTAGAAATGTATTCCATTGGTTACAATCTTGTCAAGACATTCACACAGATTGGACTCCTTCCTATGTTAAAAACACTGAGTATTGACAATGACTTAAATGACTTTCTTTTAGGCATGATATGAAGCGTGCTTGTGCGCACACATGCGCACATGCGTGTACACACACACACACACACATACAGAGCATTCATTCAGAGCAAGACCATGTCATTTTAAACTGAATAATAACCAGTTACCCACAAATTTCCATAATTTGCTTCCTGTCAATTTAAAACTCTTGCTGATATTTTATTCCCTCGCCTGCAAACATCTCTATACCTACCCAAAATTTAGTACACAGCTTTAGTACAAATCTTTTCAGCCCATCAGAAAAATCAGTATTTTAGGAGGTTTTGTTGTTACTAATATAATCCCTTATCTGCACACATTATTACCATATATTTCAGAGTATATGAAAAAAAAATTTAAAGGGCAAGAGACACGATGAAAAAGATGGCAATGTAATTTGTTCTGTCATCTCTGCTGCAGAGAAAGGTAACAAAAGATGGTTGGCATTTTTCTTGGGAAGTTTTCGCAGAAAATATTCAAACTTGATGAAAACACTTCTATGAGGTGTCTCTGCTGTATCTAACAGAATATGTCGTAATCATGTGTCAAGATGCAAGGAAAAAAATAGTGGTGCTTGTCGTCTTCCCACAGAATGCTACAGTAAAGAGAAGACAGTATACAAAACAAAGACTGGTCAATACTTCAAAAGTTAATTCACAGTTATTCTGACTCTTCTCCAGTTTTGCAAAATTTGTTCTAAAAATTAACAGGCTGAATTTTAAAAATTCAAACAATAAATGATATGTTAATTTTGAAAACAAAATTGGCCCCTTTCATATATTCACCCAGACATGCAGAAGTGTCTTTCCCACACAGCTGCTCTAAATAGCTGAAGTATTCACATATACACAGCAGTTCAAACATTATGGGAAAGTGGCTCCTACACAGCCAAGTGTGTGAAAGGGGTCATTGTCTTTTTTATTTCTGGCAAACAACTTACTAAGGTCCATAACTTTACTTAGTTAAGAGCCAGAGAAGCTCCATTAAAAAAAACAAACAAACAACCCTAAAGTCAGGCAGTTTCAGAGAGCATTTCAGAAGGAATGAACTCTTCAAATTATAATCCAGAGAAAAATGTATTATTGGGCTAGCAAAAACAAACTGACTTTTCCGTTTATTTAAAAGCCCAGACCTAGCCTGGCTTATTCCCATAAATTTAAATGGATTGCTATTTCTAGTTACTTAGAATTAATCTACAGTCTAAATGCAAAGTCTAAAACAGCTCTAGTGTTGTGCTGAAAAAATATCTGGTTGATAGAATCTCATCTATGAACAGTTTCACAGGGTCAAGTTTAAAATGAATCATGAACTCTTATAACAGAACACCATTTTACAGAACCAAAGAACCAGTTCACAGGTAGAAATGAAAGAATTAAAAGCAAAAAAGGGATAAAATAAAAAAGAAAGAAGAGAAAAGAAAGCAAAATAAAATAATAAAAACAGAGACAGGGCGTCCATCTTCTGCAGGCCAGACTCCGCTCTCATTTCCCCCATGAAGTTGTCACTTGGCGGCAGGTTTAGTGGCATGGCAAACAATGCCTAATTCAGGCAAGTGTAACAGGTCTGCCTTGGCCAGTCTAGTCATCTAATAATGCACAAATATCACACAGAGAAAACATACAAAACCAAATTAATAGTCAAAATCCATCTACCAGAAAATGTGGACATAAAGTTTAGAATGATGATTAAAGATGGCATCTCTGATACATTGCAGGTTTGTCCTCTCTCAAGCCATAACAAAATTATAGAGCAATCTTAGATACACATACAACAGGTAAGGGAGCACATTTTGACAATGTAATGATGTTTCACTCTACCCAAAGTCACAGTACTGGTTAGTAATGTGAACAGTCTGAAGTATGTATGCAAGTGTTATACACTGAACAACAATTTTACTGCCCAATGAAGCCCTTTCCATGCAATGCTGAGAATCATTCCA